CTTGCTTCGGGGTCGTAAATAAATAATAAAAGTACATTTTCCTTTCTTGCTTACTTGCTTACTTACTTGCTTCGTGGTTACTTGCTTACTTACTTGCTTACTTGCTTGCTTACTTGCTTGCTTACTTACTTGCTTACTTGCTTGCTTACTTGCTTCCTTACTTGCTTCGTGGTTACTTACTTGCTTACTTACTTGCTTACTTACTTGCTTGCTTGCTTGCTTACTTGCTTACCTGCTTGCTTCGTGGTTACTTGCTTACTTGCTTCGTGGTTACTTGCTTGCTTACTTGCTTACTTGCTTGCTTACTTGCTTGCTTACTTGCTTGCTTACTTGCTTACTTGCTTGCTTACTTGCTTGCTTACTTGCTTACTTACTTGCTTGCTTACTTGCTTACCTGCTTGCTTCGTGGTTACTTGCTTAATTGCTTGCTTACTTACTTGCTTACTTACTTGCTTCGTGGTTACTTGCTTACTTACTTGCTTACTTGCTTGCTTACTTGCTTGCTTACTTACTTGCTTACTTGCTTGCTTACTTGCTTGCTTACTTGCTTACTTGCTTGCTTACTTGCTTGCTTACTTGCTTGCTTACTTGCTTACTTACTTGCTTGCTTACTTGCTTACCTGCTTGCTTCGTGGTTACTTGCTTACTTACTTGCTTACTTGCTTACTTACTTGCTTCGTGGTTACTTGCTTACTTACTTGCTTACTTACTTGCTTCGTGGTTACTTGCTTACTTGCTTACTTGCTTACTTACTTGCTTACTTACTTGCTTACTTACTTGCTTCGTGGTTACTTGCTTACTTGCTTACTTACAAAAAGGTTGTAAATAAATAATAAAAGTTAATTTTCCCCCTGGGAGCAAGGAGCCTTTTTATCTCTAGTAAAAAAACATTTAATTGTTATAGCACTTAAACAGCACTTGAGACTCTTTACCTAGTGACACGGCAACACACAACTGTAAGAACAACAACATCATGTCTTTTTATAACCACTTTATGTTCCTGTGTCCTGTCTCTGATGTTAACCGTGTGGTTTCTGTGTTTCCTTCAGTCTCCCACTAAAGCTGTGTACAACGCGCGGCACTGGGCGGTGGAAAGTGAAGAAGAGGCTCCGCAGACCTACGTCTCTTCGGCTCCTGTGGGTTCACATATTCATCTGTCGTATTTATATCATATATTTAGAATGTATGCTCCTTTCCACCATGCACTATAAAAAAAACAACCAGTATAAGTGTACATGTTTTATTTTAAAATACCTGCCATGTGTGGAATAAAAATAATAATAATGTCATCTATCAGGGTTTCTGTAGAGAAAGATAGCATGAGGGCAACACCGTGTCACTGATGTTGGTATAATGTATATTTATTAGGGCTGTCAAAGTTAACGCACATTTCTCTTAACACCACTAATTATTTTAACGTGCGATTAACGCATGTGTATTTGGCCTCGGCCCGGCCCGTAGTTTCAGAGCCCAAAGGCTTGACGTTGTTGTTGTTGTTAGTTGGATGGTGGGAGATTCTAGCGAGAGATATGGATACAAAAAAAGGTGTTTTAAACAGCAAGCCATGCTCACAGGTGATGCTGACAGCCCCGCGCCCCTAAGGTACATTTAGAACAGATACAAACATGTGTGATTAACTATTTTAATCGAATGACAGCTCTAATATTTATTCATACCGGCCTCTCTTACGTACGTTCTGATTTTATTTGATGTGTGTTGTGTCATGCAGTTTAATATAGATAACATAAATAATTGAATTAATTCATATTTAATTATATATATATATATCTTTTTTTTCTTCACTTAAAAAACCTGTTTTGTTGTTTAAGGCGTGTTTCTTTGTATTGTTTTTTGTTTACTGAATGTCCATGTCTGGAAAAACGAAGTCATTAAATAAAAAGTAAAAATAAATAATAATCTCCTCCTCCTCTTCCTCCTCCTCTTCCTCCTCCTCCCCCTCCTCCCTCCTCTCCAGGCTCCAGCATCAGGAGGATCCAGTAAGGATTCATCAGCGGCTCATAAGGATGACGGTCTCTTTAAAGCTCCTCCCCCTCCCCCTAAAGTCACTAAATGTGTGACCCTCCCCACGGATCTGTACCAGGACACCGTCACTGCACTCAAGTGCCGCAAAGAGCACAAAGAGGTACACTTCCATTTCACTCTAATCAAACACGTTATCTGTCCAGAGAGACATCCTTACCAATCACATATGAATAACAGGTTGATCTGATATTAGCATGTTAGCTAGATCACTCCATGTGCTCATGTGTTTGACAGAGAGACATCCTTACCAATCACACATTCTTATTTTAAAGTTACTTAACTGCGAATCATTTTAATTGTATTATTAACATATATATATTTTTTGTTCTCAAAGAAACATCAAATAAATAAACAAAAAGTGAAATCAGTTTAATGGCGTGCAGGTGTGATTAACCGTAGCTCCTTGCCTCTTTCACTACATGTTCCTGAATAAAAGGAGCATTGAAGATGAGCCGGTATCATCAGACCTCTTAACCGCCTCTGTGTTGCAGCTTTACACCGTGGTGCAGCACGTCAAGCACTTCAACGACGTGGTGGAGTTCGGGGAAAATCAGGAGTTCACGGACGACTTTGAGTACCTGGCGACGGGTCTGAAGAGCGGACAGCCGCTCAACACACGCTGCCTCAGGTGAGCACGCTCTTTATTATTATGGAAATATATCTAACGTGTACATTTTATTTTTTAACACTTTATTTTTGAAAGTTGACATTATAAAGAATAATCACACAGAATGTAAATGAGCAGTCAAATACATACTGGAGATGCAACAGTGCACATTTAAGCCAGACAGCCAAAAAGCAGATCAAATGCACCCCCCACCCCGGGTAAATCGGCAGAAGCGCCGACACCTCCTCATCACTCCGCCGCTCCCATTTTTTTATGCCATAAGTTATTCTCTCTCCGTTGGTGCGCGGGGCTAATGCTAATAATGCTAATGCGAGCAAATAAAATGGCGGCTTCACAAAACTTTTCAGAGTTTTACTGGCCGTGGTTTGTAATTCGCCCAGCCAATAGAAATTGGAACTTTTTCCTCCCCATGAAAGTCCCTGCTCTCTAGCAGGGACTGAAAAGGGGGGAAAAGGTTTGCATGAACTAAGCA